CCAGCACAAACAGCCCCTTCCCCTCGTTTGCCCCTCTTTCCCCTATACTCTAGCCATATTTTTGGTTCATTTCCCAAATTCCTTACAAACTTTAAACAACTCCATCTACCAGTAAACTAGTTTTCAAAATTCAACTACTGTTAATTTAGAGAGTTACTCTTCCCAACTATAATGACCGTCTATCTTCTCAACGCAACCACCATCACCAGCACCACATCATCATCACTGTCAGCAGCAGCAGCAACAGCAGTAGCAATACCACCACCTACCCTCCCTTAAAGACCCAACTGTTACACGTCAAATGGGCGGATATACGATCTAACATTCAGGCGGCACTTAACTGTTCCTCTGGCTGCCTTCATATTCCCATCCTTCCCTACCAGCAACTTTTTGCCTGACTCAATATTATTTTACATAATTTCTCTTCTTCTTAGTTCAAGTATTCCACAAATTGGCCAATAAACAACCAAAACAGCAGCAGCAAAAACAATACTGAACAGAACCTGTAAAAAACTTTCTTCACGAAACCACCCAGCTCCTCAATCACCTCCCATTTCAGAACGGATGCAAATTGTTATCCTTCATCCACCAGGCTGCAACTATGCACCACCTACCATCCATCTTGTGTAACCGTCATCTTTCAGCCCTACTCCTACCCAACACTGAAATTTTGGAAGTGAAACAAGTTGTTTCCAGGAACTCCTCTTCTTCCAATACAATGACCAACGTCCATAACTGCCATGCACAACTATTCCACATCGACAGCAACGCTCAAGCCCGCACAGCAGCACCACTTAACACCACTGCACTGCACTGCAACGTACCATATCTCCGGCACCCTTATACGTTACATACACCTGCGAACCTACTCAAGCCTGACCAAGTCGGGAACAACAACAACAAAAAACACAACAACTGCAACCGAAACTGAAATTTTACATCCCACCATAACCCACGCAGCAGTGACAAAGTCCCACTGGGCTATTCTTCAAATGAAGAACCACACACCTAAACACCTGAAAATTAAAAAAACTACACAATGCTTTTGAACCACCCAGGACACAAATTTTATATAAATAATAATTATCGGATTAATCAATGAAAAAAGAAACAATAAAAGCAAAGGAACATACATTAAGGAGCAAAACAGTTCAAAATCAATGACAGCTTCATCATATAGTGAGCGAGTCAAAAAATTGTATGCCAAACAACTTCCGAATCAAGTACTCACTCAACGACAATCCAGTAATTTTGTTTTGTTACTCATGTTCTCAAAGAGCATGAAAAAAAAAATCAGAGTTTGCATTCCGAAGAAAAGCTCTTATTGTGTATATAACGACAAAGAATATTTCACAAAGTATCAACGATATGCTGGGACACACCCCAATCCTTTTCGTCAAAACCAACGAAGTCACACTTCCTTTTTGACCCCACGACAAAAGCTGAGTCTACAGTAAAGCCCAGAACTAGACTAACCTCTTCCAAGCAAACTTAACGAAAACACGCTGGTAAGGCGCAACCAAGTTGCCATGGAATAAAATAAAGAAAAAATACGAGAGAACTGAGTACGGAAGCTCAAGATGTAACCTCAGATGTACAAAAGTGATAAGAAAAATCAAACCTTCCCATATCTGAAGTCATTCAGCTTATTGCCTAAAATTTTACATATTTGACGTAGATCTGGGGCCGAAAAAAAAAAA